AAATGACAATATCTGCACTCAAGATTGAGCACAGCCAGGTGCAGTGGTTCACGCCTGGAATCTCAGCCCTTTTGGGGGCCGAGGCGAGAGGATCGCTTGAGCTCAGGAGCTTGAGACCTGCCATATCTATCAGTCAATCAACAAGCAACGTGGTAAAACCATCTCTACCAACAATGCAAAAATTAGCAGGGTGTGATGACGTATGTCTGTGGTCCTAGCTACTCAGGAAACTGAGGTGGGAATATCGCTTGAGCCCCAGAAGTCGAGGCTGCAGTGAGCCGTGATCACGCCACTGCACTCTGGCCTGTGTGACAGAGTGAGATCCTGTCTCAAAACAAATGAATAAAAATTTTTTAATTTAAATAAAAAGATTGAGCACAATTACCCACTATGTATCTGCTGTAGCATGGATTCATTCAACAAATAATCACTAAACACCTACTGTGTGCTAACTGTTACAGGCTCTGGAGTGCAGTAAACAAAACTGGGAATAAATTATTATCCTCATGGAGATAATGCAGTAATGCAAGCAACAAACAATAAACAAGATACATAAAATGTGCATGCACGAATGTAACGTGCTGAGAGCTGCTGAGGGAAAAGAAAGGCAGGCGAAGAGTGAGTAACGAATGGTCAGGGCATCTGCCTGAAAACGTGAAGGAACCATCCATAGTTGATGGGTATAATTTGGATTCAGTGCTTTTTCAGTTATGCTCCCTTCATTTGAAACATTGGGCCCTTTATATTTCATTCCTTCTTTTAGTCGGCCAACAATTATTTGAATACCCACTAAGGAATGTGGAGCTTGGACCCTATCAATGAATCAACAAGACCCAACCCGATGCCACCGTGTGCGTGGACTAAGGCAGGGAGGAGAATGATCGGTCACAAACATTTAATTACCATGTGGCAAGGGCTACAGGAGGCCACCTGATGCTATTTTAAGCACCTAGCTAATCTGGTCGTTTGTATTGCTTTTCCATCAACTAAAATCCCTTGTAACATTTCACGGGATTTTCTTCATGGTGGCATTGAAGTGGGGGCAGAAAGAGACCTCACTATTTTTTTTTTTTTTTTTTTTTTTGAGATGGAGTTTTCGCCCTTGTTACCCAGGCTGGAGTGCAATGGCGCGATCTCGGCTCACCGCAACCTGTCTCCTGGGTTCAGGCAATTCTCCTGCCTCAGCCTCCTGAGTAGCTGGGATTACAGGCACACGCCACCATGCCCAGCTAATTTTTTGTATTTTTAGTAGAGACGGGGTTTCACCGTGTTGACCAGGATGGTCTCGATCTCTTGACCTTGTGATCCACCCGCCTCGGCCTCCCAAAGTGCTTGGATTACAGGCGTGAGCCACCGCGCCCGGCCTGAGACCTCGCTATTAACACTTCACTGCAAGCAGACTCTGGGAGATTTGTAGCAGGAATAGAAACACAACAAAAGCAGTTTTACTTTCTGATATGCCTTTTAAAGTGAATTCAATTCACTAGAGTGGTCAGCACAAAGACTCAAGAAGTAAAATACACAGAACTGACAAAAACTCGAGAAGTAAATGTCCCCTAGCGTCCAAACAACGTACCAAAGCCATTTCTTCCTAATTTAACTCGATTATTTGGATTATACCTCTGTGTGTGTGTGTGTGTGTGTGTGTGTGTGTATATATGTTTGAGACAGAGTCTTGCTCTGTTACCCAGGCTGGAGTGCAATGGCGCGATCTCGGCTCACCGCAACCTCCGCCTCCTGGGTTCAGGCAATTCTCCTGCCTCAGCCTCCTGAGTAGCTGGGATTACAGGCACGCGCCACCATGCCCAGCTAATTTTTTGTATTTTTAGTAGAGACGGGGTTTCACCATGTTGACCAGGATGGTCTCGATCTCTTGACCTTGTGATCCACCCGCCTCGGCCTCCCAAAGTGCTTGGATTACAGGCGTGAGCCACCGCGCCCGGCCTGAGACCTCGCTATTAACACTTCACTGCAAGCAGACTCTGGGAGATTTGTAGCAGGAATAGAAACACAACAAAAGCAGTTTTACTTTCTGATATGCCTTTTAAAGTGAATTCAATTCACTAGAGTGGTCAGCACAAAGACTCAAGAAGTAAAATACACAGAACTGACAAAAACTCGAGAAGTAAATGTCCCCTAGCGTCCAAACAACGTACCAAAGCCATTTCTTCCTAATTTAACTCGATTATTTGGATTATACCTCTGTGTGTGTGTGTGTGTGTGTGTGTGTGTGTGTGTGTATGTATGTTTGAGACAGAGTCTCACCCTGTCACCCAGGCTGGACTGCAGTGGCACGATCTCAGTTCATTGAGACCTCCGCCTCCTGGGTTCAAGCAATTTTCCTGCCTCAGCCTTCTGAGTATGTGGGGATTACAGGCACCCACTGCCACACCTGGCTAGTTTTTGTGGTTTTAGTAGAGATGGGGTTTCTCCATGTTGGCCAGGCTGGTCTCAAAGTCCTGACCTCAGGTGATCCATCTGCCTCAGCCTCCCAAAGTGCTGATATTACAAGCATGAGCCACTGCATCCAGCCTATACCTGT